CATCATTGTTGTTTGGTGGGTCCAGGCTGGATTCAAACCCGCCACCTTAGGTGTATGTGGCTGGCGCCTTAGCCACTTGAGCCACAGGCGTCGAGCCTCTTTCTTTTTTTGAGACAGTCTCACTATGTTGCCCTAGTGCTATGGCATCACAGCTCTCAGCAACCTCAGACTCTTGGGCTTCAGTAATTCTCTTGCCTCAGCCTCCCAAGTAGCTGGGACTACAGGCGCCTGCCACAATGCTCAGCTATTTTTTTTTTGTTGTTGTTGTAGTTATCATTGTTTGGTAGGCCCAGGCCGTGTTTGAACCTGCCAGCCCTGGTATATGTGACCAGCACCCTAGCTACTGAGCTACAGGTGCTGAGCCTGGCCCCTACAAATTTGATAGCTTCCCAATAACACTCTCATGACGTTAGTAGTGATATTAACAAATTAATTTAAGGGATATCCTAAGTGTGGAATTTTTTTTTGATACCATATAATTAAAGTGTCACTGTTTAGAAGATCTGTAAAATTCAATGAAACATTGTTTTCCAAATGACTAATGCATGATGTTACAAAATCAAGCTTGGTCAAAGATCCATTCCAAAGCCAGGACAGGTGGCTCACACCTGTAATCCTAGTACTCTGGGAGGCGAAGGCAGGTGGATTGCCTGAGCTCAGCAGTTGGAGACCACTTTGGAAGGCTGAGGCAGGATTGCTTGAGGCCACCAGTTCAAGACCAGCCTGAGCAAGAACAAGACCCTGTCTCTACAAAAAATAAAAAAAAATTCACTGGATGTGGTGGTGTGCACCTATAGCCCCAGCCACCTGGGGGGTGAGGCAGCATATTCCCTTGAACCCAAGACTTGGAGGCTGCAGTGAGCTAAGACGCCACCAATGCACTCTAACCAAGGTGACGGAGCCAAGGCTATGGGACCTTGTCTCAAAAAAAAAAAAAGTGAGCACTTGTTGCGTTTTGAAGTGGTAACAGAAGAATATGCACAAATATCAGAAAAGACCATTCCAATATCCCTCTGTATTCCAACTAAGTATCTGTGTGAGGCTAGATTTTTTAATATATATTTCAAAACAACATATTGCAACAGATTGAATGCTGTAGCAGAAAGAGAATCCAACTGTCTTCTATTAAACCAGATGTCAAAGAAATTTGTGAAAAACATCTCTTCTCAATTTTTTTAGAAGTTATTTTTTATAAAATTTTCATAAAAATATGGCTCGGCACCTGTGGGTCAAGTGCCTAAGGTACCAGCCACATACACCTAAGGTGGCGGGTTTGAATCCAGCCCAGGCTGCCAAAACAACAATGACGGCCACAACCAAAAAACAGATGGGTGTTGTGGTGGGTGCCTGCGGTCCCAGCTACTTGGGAGGAAGAGGCAGGAGACTCGCTTGAGCCCAGGAGTTGGAGGTTGCTGTGAGCTGTGATGTCACAGCACTCTACCCAGGGGGACAGCTTGAGGCTTTGTCTCAAAAAAAAAAAAATTTCATAAAAATAAACATAACCCACATAAATAAAGAGGCTTTTGGAGGGTCCAATAATTTTTTAAGGGTACAGAAAGGTTCTGAGACCAAAAAGTTTGAAAGTTAACAGTAAATAGTAATGAAATATTGGGGATTTTGGGGACTTTTCTGGCATGGAGGGGAAGGGCAAGTGAGGAGGAGAGATGGAAAAGACATTTCTCCATGAGCATAAATAGTCATTCGGCGTCCCCTGGATAAGCCCCACACAGATGTGTTAAGGGATGTCCAAAGCCATGGAGAGACATTGAGAAATTTAACACATATTTATGTTCAAATAATCACAGATGTATTCATGGACAGGAGATGAAATTTAAATGAAAGGTTGTAAGCTAAATTAAAATATTTCAGATAAATTGGCAACAGTGCCTGAGCCATATTCTGAAGGTAAAAGCCCACCTTCTTGTGCGTTTAGGGGGTGCCCTGGTTGAAGATAAGAAACTTATAGAAAACAGAGCTGTTTGAACCCCAGTTGGCCACCAGGGGGCACCACAGACAAAGAGATGTTGGTGTCACCTTTTAGTAAGATTAATCACTCAAAATGTTTCACGAAGAAGGGACCTGAATCTGGGCCTGGAACTGGGCTGACAACATCTGACTTTGCTGAAGAGAAAGTTGTTTTTTTTTGAGACAGAGCCTCAAGCTTTCCCCCTGGGTAGAGTGCCATGGCATTACAGCTCACAGCAACCTCCAACTCCTGGGCTCAAGCGAGTCTCCTGCCTCTGCCTCCCAAGTAGCTGGGACCACAGGCGCCCGCCACAACGCCCGGCTATTTTTTGGTTGCAGCCGTCATTGTTGTTTGGGGGGTCGGGGCTGGGGATCCGAACCCGCCACCTTAGGTGTACGTGGCTGGCGCCTTAGCCGGTTGAGCTATAGGCGCCGAGCCTGAAGAGAAAGTTTTAAAAAGGACAGAAACCAATTCTCACTACAGATTATTCTAATTTGAGAATAGCAGGAGGTTGTATTTTTTAAAATGTTCCCCAGAGGATCCTGATATGCAGTGAGGTTTGGGAACCAGAGCTGTGCTTGGGCCCATCTAGAACCTTCCCCTGGCCTTTTGGGGAGCCTACCCTGAGACACGACCACTCCTGTTAGTGAGGAATTACAGGAAACTGACCCTTGCCAACGTCCTCACATTTGGTTGTCACAATGACCCAAAATCCAACTGAGCCTCCCAACCTCTTCTGCAGATAATAGAATGAAGACTCCCCAGTACAGCTCAGTTGGAGGCCAGGCTCACTCTGCCACAGCTGGACCCCACAACCCTTGGTTTCTTTATTTGGAAAGTGGGATAACAGCAGGTGTCTGCTCCTCAGAGGGCTCTCATGACAGCTGCATCTGGCACAGGGCAGGTGTGTAAGGAAGACAAGCTGGCCCAGTGCATCCATGTGACTGGGGGACCTAGGACCTTATTGGCGGGGCCCAGGGGACTCACTGATCTCTGTTGGGGGCTTTCCTGAGCTGGTCGGCAGTGACCCTCCACGAGAAGTTGAAAAATCGCATGGCGTTCTCGAAGTAGAGGTCTGGGACTGCAGTGTACTGGAAAAAGAGGATACAGAGTCACAGGTTCACAGCATACCCAGGCTGAGGGCGTGGCCCGAGACTGAGGAAGCTGAGACCTGTCGGTCTGCAGGCTGGGGACTAGAATGGAGGGCTTGGGGCTGCAGGCTTGGGTACTTCCCTTGGCTATCACCCTGTGGGGGGCCTGGTACAATGCTCTCCTTTGAGGACACACTAAGAGCTTCACCCAGGGGTGTCACAGATCCAGCAGTGCCTGGGTCTAAGGCAAAGATATCTTCTGTGCTGTCCAATAGAACTTTCTGTGGCAAAGAATGTGTTCTATGCAGGTGCTGTCCAGTATGGCAGACACAAGCCACAGGTGGCTACCAAGTATTTCAAATGTGGTGAGCATTTATTTGTTTATTTATGTATTTTTGGACAGACTCTCACTCTAGCCTAGCTCACAGAAACCTTAAACTCCCAGGTTCAAGTGATCCTCCTGCTTCAGACTCCCAACTAGCTGGGACTATAGGTGCTTACCATAATGCTTAGCTAATTTTTCCATTTTAGTAGAGACAGAGTCTCTCTCTTGCTCAGGCTGGTTTTAAACTCCTAAACTCAGGTGGTGCCTATGGCTCAGTGGGTAGGGTGCCAGCCCCATATACGGAGGATGGTGGGTTTGAGCCCGGCCCTGGCCAAACTGCAACAACAAAAAAAATAGCCAGGTGTTGTGGCGGGTGCCTGTAGTCCCAGCTACTCGAGAGGCCGAGGCAAGAGAATCGCTAGAGGTTGCTGTGAGCTGTGACACTACAGCACTCTACCGAGGGCAATAAAGAGACTCTGGCTCTAAAAAAAAAAAAAAAGAAATCCTCCTACCTCAGCCTCCCAAAGTGCTAGAATTGCAGGTCTGAGCCACTGTGCCTGGGCTGAGTGTGGCTTTTAATTTTAATTTTGATTAATTTTAGTTTTAATTAATTAAATAGCCACCTGTGGTTTGTAGCTACCACATCAAACAGATGAGATCTAGTAAACGAAGTTGGAAATCTATCTCTGAAACGTCAAGGGACAAGTATTATTGCACACTCCTCACCACTCAGCCCAGCTTTTCAGTTCTTTATGGGTACAAGTTCTCCCTGAGATCCACTCCAGATCTTTCTGCCTTTCCATCAGGGCCCTAGAAAAATCCTGGATCCTCAAGGATACCCAGCTTGTGGTCTCTGCCTGGGCTGCCTCCAGAGGTTTCTAAATTTTGTATCATGACACTCTGGAGCATCTTAAATTACTCTCAAGGAAAAAGGCTACAGAGTGGATGAACCTCATGTTCTCAGGAGTGAATTTAATTTTTGTAGGTTTTAAATAGAACCATGATAAGAAGTTATTATAATTTTTTAAATGTCTGAATTCACAAATTTCAATCACAAGAAGATATAAAAATTTTATTACCCAAGGCAGAAGCACAAGCCACTTAGAGGAGGGGCTTGCCAAAAGTTCTAACTGGCGGAGATAGATCAACTACACTTGCTGTGTAAATTAAGCTTAGAATGCATGTGGGATTTATATTTCTTCTTTCTCATGAGCATTTCAAGGTCCAATCAGAGATCCAGGTTTCTCTGGGGAGGTGGGGGTGGACCCCAAGGACAGGAGGTGACTCTGGAGGCAGAACCAGGGAAGGTGGACACAGCCTGTGGGGCTCCATTTTCTGCTTCACCCCATGATGTGTCAGGGCCACCAATTCCCTCTCCACCCTCTAGAATGTGTTTCTCACACTTGAAACGCTGCAGGGCACGCGGCATATGTTCTGGGACTGAGTGCTGGGTACTGCCTGGTGGTGGCTCCAGGGAGGCAGAGCCTCTAGCTGACCCAGAAGCAGGGAACGGCTTCCCCACATCTGCCCCAGACCCATCCACACTCCATCACCTCCCAATGTACTGACTACCACGCTCCAACACCCCATGCACACCCGGCTTCACCTCGGCCCTTTCCTAAGGAAGTATTTGGGAACACAAGAGGGCAGGGTGGCGGCCACTCACATCGTTGAACACTTTGTCCAGCTCCTTGGGGTCCATGATGAAGTTGGGGTAACCAATCATGTTGTAGATAGCATCTGCCTGGGGAGACAGGGGAGACAGAGGAAGTGAGCACCCAGAGCCACCAGCCATGCTGACCTGAGCCCTGTGGGTGCTGGGCTCAAGGTCTGGGCCAAGGGAAAACAGGGCTGGGCTGCTCCCCCTGCCTCAGGGCTTTCACATCTCTTTCTGGAAAGACTCCTCCCCTTGCCCAACTTTGGGTCTCTGCTTAAATGTCATTTTCTCAAAGGAAGACTTCCCCAACCCTACCCCCGGGACTGAGTAGATCCAGGTCTCCCTCCACTTTCCCCTCACAAACCTTCCCCGTGAGGTTGGTTTCGATGGTCACTCATGCAGTTATGAGCTCAAGGCTGTCTTTCCATCTTGCTAGGCTGCTTGGGCCCTGAGGCAGGACAGCACCCAAGGGTGCTCACTGGATCTAACTGGCCTCTCTCCTTCATCCTCTCACCCCCTCATCCCGCGGCTGCAGCCTCTGCGCTGGAAGCCTCGGTGACCCCCGGGAGGCGCCCAGCAGCCTCACCTTTTCCTTGGCCGATTTCCGTGTCTCTTCATCCATCCACTTCAGGGTGCTCAGGCTTTCCTCAAACGCCTTCTTGATTTCCAGGATTATCTCAGTGGCCTGAGGAGACAGATAGGTCTGGGCATGGGCCTCACCTAAATGCAATGGGTGCCCCATGCAGAAGGGAGATGCGAGGCCAGAGGCTAAATTCAGTTTTGGCTCAAAGCTCGGGGTGGGGTAGTAATGAGACCAGCCACAGCCGTGCTTTCCAAACCCCATTTCTAACACTGACCTCCTGTGATGGCTTTCCTTAAATAGGCTTACAGCCAAATAAGCTTAGGACAAGTTTCAGGACAGTTGGTACAGTCTGCTGCAGGACTTCTCAGAGCCTTTAATGTGGTACTATTCCCTGTGATTCTTTCAGAGGGGCTAGAACACGGAGCCCCTCTCAGACTTACTGGACCACAGAATTGCTTTTTGGTGGAATAGGTTTTAAATTCTAGAGAATGTGAGTTTTGAGCAGCAGTTTCAGAAATGCTGTGCTCAGGCTGGAGATAAAAAGCTGTTGTTGGGCAGTGCCTGTGGCTCAGTGGGTAGGGCACCGGCCCCATCTATCAGGGGTGGCAGGTTCAAACCTGGCCTGGCCAAATGGCAAAAAAAATAGCCAGCATTCTGGAAGGTGCCTGTAGTCCCAGCTACCTGGGAAGGTGAGGCAAGAGAATCACTTAAGCCCAGGAGTTGGAGGCTGCTGTGAGCTGTGACGCCACAGCATTCTACCAAGGGCAATGTAGTGAGACTCTGTCGCTTAAAAAAAGCTGTTCTCGAGGGCCTGGAGGCCGAAGTTAGAAGATTCTAGAGAAGGCAAAGGCAGGGCCCTGTGGCAGCAAGTAGGGGCTGACGTGACAACTCAGACTCACAGGCCGGCCATGGAGTAGATTTGTGCCTTAGCTGGCTCATCTTTGCAGATAACATCTACATTAATACTATTGCAACCAAAATTAATACTTTTGTAATCCAAACTGTAACAACGATCAATAGCTCCTGTTCATGAAACCCTTCTCTTGTACCGGGTGCTCAACAGAAGCCTTTAACTTCCCTCTGCAGAGGGATCATCCCTACCCACCATGTTACAGAGGAAGTCAGAGTACCGACCCAGCAGCCCAACCAAAGAGTGGTGAAGCTGGAATCTGAGCTTGGGCCTGGCTGTCCGCACAGTCCTCAGCCATGATGTCCCTCTGCCTGTCTAGAACAAACCCATCACCCACAGAATGCTCTACCAGTATCTTGCTACATCCTTCGCCCCCTTTGTGGGGTGGAGATGGCTCTCGTAGCCTTGCAGGTTGTTAGAAGGGTCAGATGAGAGGGTGCAGAGGAAGGGCCTAGCAGCTGATGACAGCAGCTTTTATAAAGTACTCCAGGCATGGGAGGAGGCTTCTGAGATCAGGCTGGAGCCCCAGGGCCTTCTGGCCTGGAGTAGGAAAGGCCCAGAGCAGGCTGGAATATGGCTACCAAGTCCGTGAGGGCTGGGGCAGGCATGACATCATAGCCAGTGTGCACGGGCAGGGCACTTACTATGTTCTTGCTGTCCTCAGCGAAGGTTGCTTTGACGAACATGGGGCCCAGGGCAAAGCCCAGGTTGTTTTCTGTGTCACTCACACAAAACTTCCAGCGAGGGAGACAGGTCTGTAAAATACAAGTGGGAGGGCTTGCTCGACCCAGTCCTTCCTTCCCCACCTCCTCTCTGTCCAGGAGTAGCACCACCTGGGCCCATGCTTCGTTTGGGACTCCAGGGAGGCCCCTCTGACCCAGTGCAGTTATTTTAGGCACTGAGCCAAGAGGTCATGGATACCCCTTATCACTGCTGAGTGCCAGGGTCTGTGCTCAGGACTTCACACACAGCATCCCACTGAGTCACCAAAGTGACTGTGAGAGGAAGGCCTTATGAGCCATTTGAACTCTTCCTCCAGTCACTGGTCCAGGTTCCCCAGCAAGGGAGGGATGCTGCTTGGATGGGAACTGAGACGTGCCTGGCACCACCCTGTGCTTCTGACCACCCTTACCCTGTCCCTGTTGGAGGAGACCAGCATCTCCGTCTACCCTGAGCAATGGGGAAAGGTTCCTGGAAGGCCAAGGCCCAACTCCACCAAAAGCCTCCATGAAAGAGAACAGGTCTAGCCACGCTGTAGGCTTTGACACACTGGCTCTTCCTTGGTCTTCCCCGCCAGCCCCAGTAGTCCATAGAAAGCCTCTGTGAGAACTGGAAACAGATACCCGTGGGCTGCAGCCTCCTGGGGCACAGCCTGGGCAAGAGGCATCCCTCTGTGGACAGTGAGTGTGACCATGCGTGGTGGCCCTGCTCGTGTAAATCCTTCACACTGCAGAGGAAGCCGAGGTCTTCTTTTTTTTTCTTTTTTTTTTTGAGACAGAGCCTCCAGCTATCCCCCTGGGTAGAGTGCCATGGCATCACAGCTCACAGCAACCTCCAACTCCTGGGCTCAAGCGAGTCTCCTGCCTCCACCTCCCAAGCAGCTGGGACCACAGGCGCCCGCCACAACGCCCGGCTATTTTTTGGCTGCAGCCGTCATTGTTGTTTGGCAAGTCCGGGCTGGGGATTCGAACCCACCACCTTAGGTGTACGTGGCTGGCGCCTTAGCCGGTTGAGCCATAGGCGCCGAGCCAAGCCGAGGTCTTAATCCTGAAGAACAGGTGGCAACAACCACCCGTGGTCAGGGCCGCCTGGTTCATGATGGGCCTCAAGTGAAAACCATCCAAAAGCCCATCGACAGCAAGATGGATAAACAAAATGTGGTATTTTTATACAGCAACGTACTACTTGGCAACATGAAGGAATGAACTACCGATAAAGACACCAACATAGACGAATCCCACAGATGCAGGCTGGGCGAAAGAAGCCAGGCACGTGGTGTGTGACTCCATCTGCAGCCGCCTCTGCAGGTGGGGGAGCGCGCTGCTCAGAGGAGCTGGAGAAAGGGGTGATGGGAAAGCTCTATCTTAAGGAGTCGTGGTTACACTGGTGACCTCCTTGGTCACATCTCATTGAAGTATATACTTGCTGTATACTGCACGATTTATTTTAAGTGAATTATGTCTTAGAAAAATTTCTTCTAGGAAAGATGAAGGAAGGGAGGAAGGGAAGGAGGGAAGGAGAGAGAGAAGAAGGGGCACTCTACTCTTTTCAAAGTTTGGTCACCCCAGTTCCCTTTAGCTTTCCCAACCACGTGACCATTTGGACACCTGCCTTCTGCCCTGCCTCAGCTGTGCCTGGCTGAGGCCAACCACACAAGAGAGCAGGACTCTTAACTTCGAGGCTCCAGGGAGGGTTCAGGCTGTGATTCCCGAAACACATTCTTATACATTGTCTTCTCAGGAGAGTCTTTGGATAAACCCATTCATTCACGCCTAAATGTTCTCAGAGAAGTTCCTCCTCGCCCTGATCACGCTAAGTCTTTGGAATCTACAGATGAATCGACTGTGAGCCTGCATTTAAGGGACTCGACTGAGAGGCCCAGAACATCCAATGGGAGAGACAGGCAGGCAGTAACAATATCGATGGCAGTAATAGTAGCGAATGCTTAGTGAGGGTTCACCCTGTGCCAGGCCCTATCCTATGTAATGCTCACTCTCCATGCGTAGCCATCTCTGCAGCCATCACTGTGGGTGCTGGTCAGACAGATGCTTCCTGTATAAAGACATGAATTCCTGCCACTGTGTGCCCAGATCTGAGTCCACTTGGCCCCTGGAAGGCCAAGTGCTGCAGGGAATGGAATCCTGATTCTGGTCGCATCTATGATCTAGGGCCAGTTCAAAGTAGGGTGCAGCTGGGGCAGGAAGGTGGATCGCCTGTCAGGGCAGCCAACCTATTGCTTCCCCCTGTCCTCCACAGGGCAGAGTAGGTCTCATGGCCAGGGAATGGTGGTACCCTTGTAAGTTCCTCTGGCCAGGACTTGTTCCCAGCCACCCTCTACCGCAATCCCCTTCTGCCAGAGGTGGTTGTACGTGGACATGGGAGAGAAAAGAACCCTTTCCAGGATGAACTCTCGGCCAGAGCAGGAGCCTACATCCTGCCATCTTCTGCTAATCTTATCTGGCTCCCCAATTCCACTGGACTATGAGAGAGGATGTGGGGAACCCACTGGGGTCTTGCTAGCTGCTATGTGGGTGGAGGCAGGGTATGTGGGGTGAGCTTGGCACTCCAGTCTTTATTGCTGGGGCCAGGCTTGGAGCATCCCATTAGCACTTGGGGGAGCTAATCAGCTCCCATGACTTTTCTCAGCAGGTGTAGCTCTTGGGGCACAGAGTCCCTCTCACCCATCTCAGTATCCCATAGTGGGCTCAGAGCTGGCACACAGCTGCAGGAATTCAATGTGTAACCTTGGGGAGACAGCAGAAGTGGCTACAGAACTTTCCACTGGGGCAGGTTCCCCTGGGGGAGGGCCAGGAAGAGCCCTGAAGCCTTTGGGAGAATGAACCCTCAGGGGTCCTCATGGGCCATTTAAAGTTAGGGGGAGCACACTGCGTCTGGGGCCTGGGACTTTTGCTCCCCTACAAAGCCCAAGGCCTAGCTCCTCCCAGACCAGGAAGGATAACAGAAACAGCAAACACTCACATAGACCCTACCATGAAACAGATTCTGTTCTATGAGTTTTATCTTTTGGAAGAAGTAGCATTATCGGGGCTGCCCTAGGCAAAGGGGAATGATAATAGCACCTGTCTCACAGGGGTTGTGAGGAACACATGAGTTACTCACGGAGGGCATTTATCATCACTACCAAGAAAGAGTGAGAAGGGAAAGAACAGAAATTACCATTTGCTGTAAACTAGCCAAGTAGCTAAGACCCCTCTTCACCCCTGACTTGGCATAATCCTCTCTTTCTAGAAGCTTCAGCAAGGCGTAGGTCTTTCTGGGCTCCCTCAGATACCAGGTAGGCCCTTTGAGGCTCTTCATTCTCTTCCTATGTTCTATCTTCCCATATGTTCTATGCCCTAGGCAGGTGCTATGAGCCTAGTACACAGTAGGTGCTCAGCATGAGTACGGGAATGCATGGTAACAGGCTCACCTTCTTGGTCCCGTACATGACTTCCATGAACTTCTCATCAGCATCCTGAAAGCGCTGATCCAAGAAGGAACTTGTTTTCCGCACCAGGTTCCAGATCATGTAGTTGTTCAGCAGGCTGGGGCAAAAGGAGACCAGAGCCGCTGGGAGACGCCCCCAGCTAGAAGCATCACAGCACTTCCCCTGATGGCCCCTAGGGGGCTCTCAAACGCTGCCTCTGATCCCAGGCTCCTTCCTAGCCTAGGTTTGACCTGGTTGCCACTCTCTAAGCTCAGGGAACGAAACCCCTCAGTGCCTGGTGCAAGCAGGTATACACCATAGGTGCTCAATAAATCCTTGTTGCCTAACTGCTTTGTGTCTGGCAGCTGTGAAGCCCCAGTATGGAGGCTCCCCTCCTTTCCCCCCTATGTCTGCTACAGGGCTAGGGTGGGAAAGAGGCTGCCATTTTCCCACAAGAAGGCCAGAGAGAGGGCAGGAAAGCAGCAGGGGCCAGCCAGGCCATGGTTTCCACGATGACAGCTCCCACTGCCCTACCCCAGGGCACAGGGCCCCTATCTAGCCTCCAATCAGAAATTAAGAGAAGGGGTAAGTAAAGGATTGTATTTACACGTGATGGAACACTATGCAACCATGAAAAATGATGTCTGCATGGGTTTAGGATGACACGGGGAAAATGCTCACGGTAAAGGGCAAAGGAAAAGCAGACTGTACATCTAGGTATGTACAGATGATGGAGGAAAAAAAGAGCCACGAATTAGAAAACCCAGCTCTTTTTCTAGTGCTTTCTCTTTCTATAAATGGCGTTTAGGTCATTTAAATTATTTTCTATTCTTTCCAGTAGTTTTAAAATTTCTACAAGTATTTAACATTTTAAAAAAAATAACTTTTTTTTTGAGACAGAGTCTTACTTTGTTGCCCTCGGTAGAGTGAGGTGGCATCATAGCTCACAGCAACCTCAAATTCAGCCTCCTGAGTAGTTAGGACTACAGGCACCTGCCACAATGCCTGGCTATTTATTATTATTATTAGAGACAGAATCTCACTTTGGTGCCCTTGGTAGAGTGTTGTAGTGTGATAGCTCACAGCAAGTCCAAACTCTTGGGCTGAAGTGATCCCCTTGCCTCAGCCTCCCAAATAGCTGGGACTACAGGTACCTACCACAACACCTGGCTATTTTTAGAGACAGGGTCTTGCTCTACATCAGGCTGGTCTCAAACTCCTGAGCTCAGGCAAATCCACCTGCCTTGGCCTCCCAGAGTGCTAGGATTGTAGGCGTGAGCCACACTGTACCTGGCCTTATAATAAATCTTAACTAAAAATAGCAGCTACCATTCACTGAGTCCCATTATGTGTCAGGCACTATATTAAACCCCCTCACACTGATTATTTTTTTTTCTTGTTTTTTTTGAGATAGAGTCTCACTATGTCTCCTTCAGTAGAGTGCTGTACCATCACAGCTCACAGCAACCTCAAACTCTTGGGCTTAAGCGATTCTCCTGCCTCAGCTTCCCAAGTAGCTGGGACTACAGGCGCCTGCCACAATGCCTGACTATTTTTTGGTTGTAGTTGTCATTGTTGTTTGGCAGGCCCGGGCTGGGTTTGAACCTGCCAGCTCCAGTGCATGTGGCTGGCACCCTAGCCACTAAGCTACAGGCACCAAGCCCCACACTGATTATTTTACTTGATTCTCACAGCCCCTATCTGATGGTGCTATTTGTACCCCCATTTTAAAGACTAGGAAAATGAACCTAAGAAAGGGTAAGAAATTTGCCCAGGGCTACAAAGCTGGTAGGGAAAGGAGCTGGGATTTGAACCTGTGCTTGTAACCAGGATGACCTGCTGCCCCTCATAAAAGCCCATCCCAGGGCCCATTTTCCTGAGTCAGTTTGCTCACCCTGCCTGAGAAGGCGGCTCCCTGTGAGTCACATCCCAGGCTGCCAGGGCCCCCTTACCATTTGTCAGTGTTGTTGATGAGAGTAGAGACCTGTTCAAGGTATTCTTTGTCGTAGACCACAATAGGCTCGGATTCATTGATCTCCACAGGGTAGAAGATGGTGTTGAGAAAGGGCAACCAGTTGATGGCAGGTGCCAAGGTCTATAAGGGAAGAGGACAAAGTGACACTGCTGGACTGCATCTCCTCGGGGCCCAGGTCTCCAGGGCAGTCTGCAGAGGGCGTCGTGGCACCTTCTGCCCTTTGGCAAAGGAAAGAACTTGGTGCTGCCTGACAGCCTGGGCAGATAGTCCAACAGGGGCTGGCGACTTTGCTAATGATGCTATAGGTAGAATTCTAAGGAGTCCAACATCAAAATTCACCTTGAAATGGAACTAGGATGGAAGAAGAGGAGATGCAACGGCGGCTGTCATTCACTAGCCCCCCCACTGTGTGTCAGGAGCTATTGCAAATGACTCAGTAGTATTATGCCACTTGTTCCTTGTCAGAGCCTAAGCGGTCTCAGTAACATTATCCCCACTTTACCCATGAAGAGACTGAGCTTCAGACAGGCTTAAAACAGTGAGGCATGTAGAATCTGGAGCCAAGCTGCCAGGGCTCTGCTTCTAGCTCTTACTGTAGCTGTGTAACCTTGAGTAAGCCCTTCCGTGCCTCCGGATCTCATCTGAAAACAGGGATCACCATAATACAGAGCCTGCTTCATGGGGTTACTGTGAGCATCAAATAAGCTAATGCCATCTATTCTAATCAACAAGGGCCTTCGCAACATCAATGAGCTTCTCTGCGTTTGGTAAGCTGAGGGATAACGGCAGTATGTGTGAGGACTGTGTTGGTCTGTAAGTGATGTTTCTCAGGCTTGGGATCTGGAAAGGCAAGAGTCGAATGCTAACCTTCGGCAAGGAAGGGAAAGCCCTCAGCCCAGCTGATGCACCAGAAGGCTGCTCAGCTCTACTTTAATTTTTTGTTTTTTTGAGACAGAGTCTCACTTTGTCGCTCTGGGTAGAGTTCCATAGTGTCACAGCAACCTCAAACTCCTGGGCTCAGGTCATCCCTTTGCCTCAGCCTCCTGAGTAGATGGGGCTAAAAGCACCTATTACCACGCCCAGCTAATTTTTTTATTTTTAGTAGAGACAGGGTCTCACTCTTGCTCAGGCTGGTCTCAAACTCCTGAGCTCAGGCAATCCACCCACCTCGGCCTCCCAAGGTGCTAGGAATACAAGCGTGAGCCACCATGCCCTGCTTTCAGCTCTACTTTAAAATGATTGAAAATGAACACCTAACCTGGGCTCCGCCCCTGCAGAGGCCCCTCCAGCTCTGCTTAACTCTCAGGCCCCAGCAAGTTGATTTCCTCCCTAGCCTGTGGCTCAGAGCTCCCTTCCTGTCTGCAGCTCCTTGGTGTCCCTGGCCAGCACCTCCCCTGAGGCAGCCTCCAGCCATGCTGAGCTACCTCTCAAGGCTCCAGTTATTGTTTTGTTAGGGTTCTGATTACTAAGTCACACAACTTAAAAAGAAAACTGTGGTAAATACACGTAACGTAAAATTTACCACCTTAACCATCTTTAGGAGTAGAGTTCAGGGGCCTAAGTTCACGCACATAGTTGCGTTACCGTCACTGCCATCCATCCACAGATTTCATCTTGCAAAACAGAAACTCTGTACCCATTAAACAATAAATTCCCACAGCCTCCCACCCTGCCCCTGGAAACTACTTCTGCTTTCTGCTTCTACGAATTTGACTAGTCTGGCACCTCGTGTAAGTGGAAACACCCAGTATCTGTCCTTTGCATCATGTTCTCAAGTGGAGTTGCGTAACTTTTGAATGGTTTGCTCTTGTCCTATTTTTCTCAAATGTCCTGTTATTTTTAGTGTGTCATTTTACAGAATGCAAGGTTTTCTCAGGCCTACATCTTCTGTGCTATGGCAACAATGCCCGTATGTGTCAATCACTTAGTTGAGTACGTCTAGCAGTTAGCAAGCAATCCATCGATGCTGGCCACTGCAATCATCGCTCAAGGTCTCCCAAGAGTGACTATGACCCCGTTGCATTGAAACAGGGCAAGATGCAAGATGGATAATGGAATTCAGGGATGCCTTGTACATTGGCTTCATATGGGAAAATAAATTAATAATGTAAAATCCATGTGTAATGTAAGATCCATCTATATAACCTGTTCATAAATACCTATGATGTCCTGGAGGAGAGAGGCAGTCATCAAAACTCCCCATTTAACAGACACAATTTGCAAATGATATAAGATGACTTTTCCGGGGTCACACAATTAACCAGTGACTGTGCAAGTCTAAAACCCTGGTTCCCTTTTCTCTCTCTGGGCTTAAAAGGGCAGCTCAGTCACTGGGCAACAAGGGCCTCACAGGACAGGAGAGGCTGTGAGGAAGGCAGGTCCCAAAGGCAGCAGTGTGCTGGCAAAGGGGTTAAAGCTAGCTCAGTTTACGGGTAAATATTTTTCACCATGACTGTGCAAACTACCTGCAGAGCTGGGAAGAGATGTGCACAGTAGACTCAGGAAATGGTGGGCTCTAACACATCCCTGCCTGCCTGCAGCCAGATGAGCAGGGAAGAACCCTGGGCTGGGATTGAGCAGAACTGGATCAGAGTCCAGCAGCCATGAGTCATTTTCTACCTTTCTCTGAAATGGGGACAACAATCTGGCCTCCCAGAGTCGACTGCTCTGTGCCCTTTGGACGTGCTGCTCAATAACCCTGAGTTTCCTTTCCCCCTAGCTTGTCTTCTCTGCCCTCTCCTGGCAGAAGACCCTCAGCCAGGTAATCTCTGGGGTTGATCTTTAACATTTTGGGGCCTACACAATTTGGAGATGTGCTCTCAGATCTTTAAATAGGGCTCCACAATGAGAGCCACCTGTCTTGCACGACCCCCTGACAAAGAATCCAGAAAAATCAACAAGTTTATAAAGTGTCATTGTTTACAGGATGAATGAGGGCTCCCTGAACTGCAGATATCAGATGGTGAGAAATCCCTCTGCTTAGGGATAGCAGGTGTCTGTGTGGGGAAATTCTCACAATTCTGAGATGAGGAGATGGGTGTTGAACACTAGCATATTTACATTTTCAATCCCTATTACTTTAGCAAACACCTAGCTTTTAAATGCATGTGCCTAGACCCGGCTCTAGGGAGGTGGCTGGTTTAATTGACTAGGACTTTCCTCTTATGATACACACCCTCTGGGGCACACCGATGAGCTCCATTTTCTACACCTGCAACCACGGAGGACTGCTGGTCACAACCTAGCCAAGGCAAGTAGGCTTGAAAAGTGGGAGAGAAGAGGAGGATGCTTCTGGGCATTGTCTCAGCTGGAGAAATCAGAGCAGAGGCTGGGGCACAGTCCTAAACAGCATTTGGTGCAGGGGTGGGGTGGGGGGTGGGGCTAGAAAGGAAGGGAAGGCCCTCACGACCACAGAGAGAAGTGACAAAAGAATGTCTGATTGGTGGCTCTGAATTCAGACTCTGCTGGGGGTTAGCCTGGAACCATTCTGTGTTCCAGCAGGGCTAGCCTAGAACCACACTGTGAAACCTGGACCACCTATCCCTGAGGAAAGAAGTATGGAAAAAATACCCCAAATGTCCAGATACCAGGGGATAAGACATTCTCTGTCCCAGGGTGGAATAAATCAAATTGTTTAATGCTGGGGACCTGGGTGACACCGCCAGTCACAAAGGAATAGTAATAATATGTTACATTTGTATAGTGCACATGAGCTTATAGAATGAAACCATTTCATCTTTTGCCTCAACTTATCCTTCTGCAACACAGTGGGTCGGCCAGGGAGAGATTCCTACTGAGGATACCAGGCCTCAGTGGGGGGAGGGGGGGCCCAAGACTTCTTTAAATGTTGGTTAGATTTTTTTTGTTAATAGATGCATATATGCTCATTTCTTTCTTTCTTTCTTTTTTTTGAGACAAGAGTCTCACTATGTCACCCTCTGTAGAGTGCTGTACTGTCACAGCTCACAGCAACCTCAAACTCTTGGGCTTAAGCAATTCTCTTGCCTCAGCCTCCCAAGTAGCTGGGACTACAGGCACCCACCACAACACCTGGCTGTTTTTTTGTTGCTACAATAGTCACTGTTTTTTTAGCTGGTCCAGGCCGAGTTCAAACCATCAGCCTCAGTGTATGTGCCTGGCGCCCTACCCACTGAGCTATGGGCACCACCCTATATGCCCATTTCTTCTGGGTGACAGTCCATAGTTTTTGACTTATACTCAAGGGACTCTGTGACTTAAAGAACCACTGTCTCTTGTAAGGACAAGGGCTGCATCTCATTTGTCTCTGTGTTATGGCACATAGCAGATGTGAGTGAATGAGCCCATTTTACAAAGAAGGAAACCGAGGCTCCCAAGGGTGAGTTAAGTAACTTGTCCAAGGCCACACAGGTCATGGTGAGATAGGCTGGGGCTGCCTCTGATTCTCAGCCCAGAGCCCAGACACAGTTTATGGCTACTGTTCTTGCTGGATTCTTCCTGCCCTGGCAGCTGTGCAGCTGGGAGGGAGGGAAGGCCTCCTCCCTTCTTCCCTGTTGGAAGAAGGGAACAAAAACAATGGTGATAGGATGTGTGGGGGAGAATCTGGCAGCCCAGGAAGGCTTGGGGCTACTGTGCCTTCTTGCCACTCTTGGCATCATGGCCACTGTGGGGGGGGCTGAGGCGCTGCAGGGGCCCCTCTCAGGCTGGGAACTGGGCAGCTGGAGCAAACCTAATAACAGGCACAAACAGCATCTCCCTCGACCTCCTGGCCTAGAGCAGAAAAACAGTGCCAGATGGTGCCTGACGCCGGCTGCTCATCTCCATCGCAGCCCACTCAGCACCACTGGCCCTGGCACCAGCTTCTCTGGGACCTAATGGGCAGCTGGTGCCAGCTGGGGGCCAGGCTCTCTTGCCCTCACCCGAGGCTCTGACATGGGCTGCACCCTCACACAGGACACCCAGTTGGCTTGGCCAGTGCTCACCCATTAGACTCGCCTTCCTGCTGCTCCCCTACCCCGGCTCCCAGGGCCTGTTGCTTTTGCCCAAAGCTCTTACCAATTAGACTGGGGTTGTTTTCTAGCTAGTGTCCCCCACAGGCGTGGGAGCATATCAAGAACAAGGCCTGGCCAGGCAGGGTGGCTCACACTTGTAATCCTAGCACTATGGGAGGCCAAAGCAGGACGACTGCTTGAGGTCAGGAGTTTAAGACCAGCAAGAGTGAGACTCTGTCTCTAATAAAATAGAAAATTCGCTGGGCATCACGGTGGGTGCCTGTAGTCCCAGCTACTCAGGAGGCTGAGGGAAGATCACTTGAGCTCAGGAGTGTGAGGCTGCTGTTAGGCCGAGGCTGCTGTTAGGCCATGGCTACAGCACTGTAGTAGTCTGGGCAACAAAACTACACCCTGTCTCAAAAAAAGAAAAAAGAACAAGGGTCCAAGGTGGCCCCCCATACACACCTCCCAGATGGAAGGATGGGGAGGAGAGAAGGGTAGGCACCTAGGTTCTTCCTGAAGGAAGGAAGGGACGGGCAGACTTGGTGAGTCTTGGGGAGCCTTGGTGGAGCCCTGGCACACAAGTGGCACCTGCTCCAAGGGGAGGGCAAGGCCTCGTCAAGCAAACTGAGTGATGGTGAGGAACAGGAAGCTCAGCAGAGGCCCCTCTGGATTTCCCTGTGACCCCTGCCGCCGAGGACAAGGCTGGACAGCAACACTCGATGCACTGGGAAGAAGGAGGCAGCAGGCAGCCAGCTTAAGGCTTCCCTAATGGATGAGTCACCCCAGTCACAGACTCCCTCTTACACCATGGCCAGGATGTTACCAGGGGATGTGGCCAAGAGCAGAGCTCCAGTGACTTGACCCTGAGTCTTATGTCCAGCCACTTGAGAGCCTCTGGGCCTTCAATATGTCACTTACCCTCCTAGCTCAGCAAAGGGGGAAGAAAGACAAAACCCACACCTCACATTTATTAAGTGCTTACTGTAACCAGGCTCCACCTGTTTGGCGCTGGAGAGACTAAAAACACCCCGCCAACGTGAGCTGCTATGGTGACTACAGGGAAACGCCATCACAGAGAAGCAGCCTGGTGCAGGGGAGGAGGCTGCTTTGGGGCCACCTACTAGTGTGTGGCCTTCAGCAGGTAACTTAACCTTTCCGAGCCTCAGTTTTTCCATCTGTGAATTGGGGATAACAACCATCCCTCTTTCATAGAGCTACTTCAAGGAAAGACAAAGTGCAAATAAACAACCCCCAGCCCAGCGGCCTGTCTGAAGCCCAAGAGCCAACCTGGCTTCGCTAGCTGCTGGGGCTCAGGTTACCTGCAGCTCGGCTGCCGTCACTTTGTGATAGATGAGCTCCTCGTCCCGGCGCTTCTCCTGGGGGATGGTGATGTTGGCCAGCGCCGTCTCAAAGTCCAGGATCTGCTGCATCTGGGGCCGGATGGCATCCTCATCCCCCCCACCCAGCAGCTTCCCCAGCTGGACCATGTAGTTCAGGTATCCGGTTAGCACCTGTGGGTCCAGCACCCCCAAATGGTTAGTGGCTGCCCACCACGCAAGGGTGGGGGCAAGAGTAGCTGAGTCACATGCACAGAGCCCATGGGAAGCATAACTGGGAGAATGATTTCAGCCCTGTGTCCCTTCATGTTTCCCTACAGCCCTCAGGAGAAAGCCCAAAGGCTTCTCTCAGTCCACAGGTCCCCAAGAGGGCTGGGCCCAGCTGTTCTAGCCCTGTCTTTCTGTTCTTGGAACACACCCTTTTTTAACTGTCCTCCGTCCCCACGCTCCCAGATTGGCATTAGCCCACCCTTCCCTTATCACAGTTTGTTGTTATGCAT